ACTACGGTATGAAAAAAATTATCGTGATTTTCCAGTTAAAATAAATAAATTTTTTTTTTCTGTTTTAAAAACTACAAAACAATTTCTAAACCATAAAATATGCGATTCGTTATAGGAAACAATGGAATTAAATTTTTGTAAGTGTTTTTTATACAAGTAAAATAAAATCCGATTGTCAGATGATTCTCCGAAAATCCGAAATTTCTAACGTCAATAATACATTTTAAGTACAATTACGCTTCTGTTTATGTTTGTGATCACATTTACAATACAGTCGAACCCCCTATAACACTGTTGACTTTTCCGTTTTATATGAATTCCATGTTGTACGAGTCACCTAGATCTACAAATACGTGTGCCGGGCTGTGAACGGCTCACGTATTTGTAAAATCTAAGTGACTCGTACAACATGGAATTCATATAAAACAGAAAAATCAACAGTGTTATAGGGAGGTTGAATTGTACATAAAAGTATTGTAAATCATACATAAAAGTTGTGTTTGAATATATCTATTAAATGTAATTAATTATATATATGTTGTTTATAAAATTTAGCTTAGTAATTAAAAGAAAACAAAGCTGGCATGAAGTGAATAGAGCAGTAGAAGTCTGACATGTAGTATCTAACTGCGTAACCATTTTGGTTATCTAGAACTATAAATAAACCTTTACAAGTTTCTTAAAGTAATGACAAATTGGTGCATTTCTAATTAATAGATGAAAAAAAAAATTCATTTTCGATAGATACTCAGTAATATTCATCAATTATAAATAAAATTAGATAGAGTTAAACTAGATTATTATTTTTCAATATTATCCAATTAGCAATCAGTTTATCGCGCGCAATCGATATGACGTTTCAATGACCTTTATTATTCAATTTAAAAAATAAAAAATATATATATACTGTATATATATATATATATAATTGTTTAGATATTTATCAATGGTTTTTAGCCGGTTACTATATATAAAAGTTAAGTTCCCGGTTACCCATAGTGAAAAGTGCCAAAATTTTTATATCGCTTTCCCTATAAATAAATACGAACGGGTCCTCATTGTGATCGGATCACATGACGCCGATTCGTCACGTGACTATAGCGGCCCAAAACGCATGCGCCGTAAGGATTACCCTTCGGCGATCATCTTAAAACGGAAAGAAGCAACAAGAGCCAAAGATGTCGCTACGTAATCTAAATGAATCCTACGCTTAATTATCGAATCAATCAACTCGAATTTGCCCGAATGATAGCTAAGAAGAATAATATAACGTCGGATCTTATCTGACTAAAATATATTGTATAGTTGATAAAGTAACGAGGTCTTAAAAAATCGTCATTGTTTTCTTTCCTTCAAATGATTCATGACAAGTATGGCGGATGTTGACCGAATATTGGCGGAGTTTGGGTTATTCTTTAAGTTTTGAGATATATTCTGTCGTGTTTTGTGTATTTAGGAATGGAATTACGCGTTGGGAACAAGTATCGTCTCGGTAGGAAGATCGGAAGTGGATCCTTTGGTGATATTTACCTTGGTATGTATCAACTTTCCACTTGTCATTGTCTGAATTTACTTGTCTTCTGCTCAGTTAACCTTAAATAGATTCTTTTATTATAATAATCTTATCGAAAATTTAACTATTGTATAGAGACAATGAATACCGATTATTTTCTTAACCTTTTTCTCTAAGCATTAAATACTGTACCCCTTTTTAAATACTGTAATTGTTTCAGATCAGCTGTTTTTAAGATTATAACTTTACATAATTTCTAAATGAGTAAATAAATAAACATTTGATGAAAAATTCTTAATAGTTTTTACAGGCAATTTAAATTTTTTATTTTTATAATTAATATTCATTAAATAGTAAAATTATGATTTATTAACAGTTTAATTGACTTTGGAATTTATTCTGTTAAGTGTATCAATGATACTTTGTTGCTTTATTACCAATTATGGCTCATGTACTGTAAATATAAACTAGTTTTTTTGTGTGTTGCAGATTTTTATTATTTTTTATTTATCGTTTAACTTATCATTGTTAAAGGAAAATAAGTTAGCGTATATAGATGTTAAAAAAAGATTTCCTCGAACATTCCTCATAGATTTTGCTTTTATATTTGATATTTGTGTCAGATGAGATACTACTTGCACATTTTTTTAGGGTGGAGTCAGAGGATGGATGGAACTTATTCTATTTATAGATTCAAAATATAAAGAAAAGTTTTAGTCTTTTATAATAAAAGGAAAAACAAATTATACTGGACGCTGAAATATAAATGACAGCTTAGCAAATCAATTGTCAAACCAGTCATAAGGCTTATAGATATGTTATTGTTCGTTGATAAACGTATTAAATTATCAATATAACGTGAAAATGATCTTTTATATATAAAAATAATATAAACTTTTTCGAAAAATTTTGCACGTTAATAATCTTTATTAACGGTTCGAATCGTTAATTCAGATTATACGTGTGATGTGTTTAAATGTTCGGTATATGATTTTAGCCTGCAGTTCTAATTTGTCATTCGAACACTAGTAAATGTTCTATTTTTTTAGAGTTAATTTTGCCGAGAAGAGACATACGCATGAAAAAACTTATCTTTCGATATCATTGTTTAATCTAAGTTAATGAACTTTTAAATTACGAAAAATAAAATATTAATTGGAAACTGTGTTGCAATATTAGGCATTCGTATTTGCATGATATATTATTTAATAAGATTATAAAATTAAAAATGAAATCGATAATGACATTTTTAATTACGTGTTTTATAGTTAAATAATGTCAAAATTTGTTTCAAAATATATTGCATTAGATTATGTAAAATTAATTTATGCAATTAACTTATAATAAACAATATTTAGAAACTGTACGTATTGATTATAAAATTTTTATTTTTTTAAAATTATTTTACATATCACTTATTGGTTATGTTTTTGTGATTTGTTCAGCATTGAGAGAAATTATTTTAATATCATTGGGATATATTAAAAGATTGATTGATTGTAGTGTTTTTAATTTCACTTAGTTTGTCTTCGTCGACTGTCTTGTTCCACATTTGTGCCTAATGTGTTTAATCAAAAGTTATAATCAACTAGTTTTAATATTAAGAGTCAATTTTCTCTTTGTTTTCGTAGCTGTAATATTTTAGGTTATTTATTTTTCGGTTTTATAACTTATTAGAATTAAATTTGAATGAACATTTTAAACTTCTTAACAAGATGAATTTGAGCTTATTTATACAACATACCATTAACATTGTAGATTGTTCTTAAGTAAATTATAACAGATATAAAATAGTTTAAAAACTACTAAACAGTTTAATCAAGTAATCTCTGAAATAATCATTTATCAGATCATTTTATTTATAAAAGAGAATTGTAAGAACAATGTTAATTTCTTAAAAAGAGTATGAATTTTTGTTTTAATTTTGTAAAAAAAAAATTAAATACTTCTGATTATTAAAATCATATCTATTCAGTCTTTATCATCATTAACATAAATGATAAAAAAAGTTTTAAAATAAATCAAATATAATGAATATTATAAGAATATTTGGTAGATTATCATATTGTTTAATTAATAGAAATTTATTTCTTGTGTATAGCAATAATCTTGGTCATGGTACAAAGTATTATATATTAAACAAAATTATTGCGCTGTTGTATTATTGATATTTTAAAATATTTCTAATATGTTTAATGTTTCAATTTACCATAAAGAGATTTTAATAAATTCCTTTTATAAATTATATTAAAAATTTTAAAGCACATGGTCAATAGATAAAACTCTTATTTATTTACAATGAAATATCTTATTTATTTATTATAAAATGGATAATATTTTGGTTTTAAGAAAATATAATGTAGAACATTAAACAGAATTTCAGCTGAAATCCTAATACAGCAATGAATGAAAAATTTGTGAGAAAAGAGATATGATTGCCCTACTGTTTGTAATATAAGCAGAAAATAAGTTTTGAATCATCAAAGCAAACGTCATATTGAAAAACACACAAATCTTTTGGTATGATAGTTTTTTCTATTTGACATCTGACTGTTTTAAAAATTTAATTGTATGTATTTTTTGCATATATATCATGCTGTTACAAATCTTAAAAAAATTATTCATAAGTTAGTTGAGAATATAGTATAGGATTCCTTGCCTATGAAACATAATAGTTCACACTGCATTTTGATAATGCATAAGCAAAAAAAGTTGATAGATTATTGTATAATAATTCATTTGTTTGTTATAAATGAAATTATAGTTTTATTATTAAGCAATTAGTTAATATAAAACACAATAAAAAATATTTGTGTGTAGTTTTTAACGTTTATATATTGAATCATGTGGACTTGAGATTGAAATTGTAAAATATTTTCAGGAGAAGCTAACAAAAAGTCTTAATTCTCTATCATTAAGTGAATTAAATAAAATCAAATAAGAAAAGATAAATTGGATAATATATAAATCATATTAATAAGAATATATATTGGAATTATGCTCATATAATGAATTAAAAATATTAATTCATTATATGAGCATGTTTTTGTTTAATAAACCTTATATTGTAGCCTTATAATTATAATGTATATCTTATGATAAGACATCTTTTGGTTACTAGCTGTTGGTACTGAGAAGATTAGACAATTATAAATATTAGGAATAATTCATCAGTTGTTTATTTTATGACAGGATTTATTAGAAAATGTTTGCATTCTAAAACTTAGATGATAATTTTTATCATACTTGTAGTTGTTGTTACTACTGTAATACTACCATAAGATTTTAGACTATAATGCTCTTTCAAATTAAATAGAAAAGCATCAAATGAAGAAACAATTAAAAGAATCTAACTAATAATAAAATTAATAAAAATTTGTTTGGATTAAATATTTAAGTTTTTATCTACCATTTTACATATTTCAAGTACTTTACAATTGCAGATAGAAAATTTTTATTTTATTCATCATGCAAATCCCATAGGATAAAATCACAAATTTTAATTATATATTTTTGAAATGTAAACAAATATTTTATATGCAAACAAATATTTTATATGCAAGCTATAATTGTAAATGAATTAAAATACTAATGTTACTTAATATAAGCTTAATTATTTATGTTGTATCATACAATCTTGAATAATTTAACATATATTATTGATAAAAAATTTTATGTTGAGTATATTATGTGTTAAGAATTCTCAAGTTTTAACTCTGTTTTGTAACTCTAGTTATACTGATTTAATACTGTCATCATAATTTATAAAAATACTGACAAAAATAATAAGACTACCAGAGTAATAGCATTAAATAAAATATTTCTGTGATCTTTGAATTCTAATTGATTTTAGAAGATAAATAACTATTAGTTAACTACTAGTACACAATAAAAATCACTGAAATTTTATCCAAATGCAATTTGACTATGTTTATCAGAAAATAGGATGACTTTTCTATTATTCTTGTCATAAGTATTCAACACAATGAAATTTTAAAATATTTTATCATAATCATTACTAGAAAAGAAAAATTTATAAGATAAATCTTTTTTATTTTGAAATAAGTTAGTTTATATAGAAATATATAAGTTATTAAAATATTTTGATAGTATCAACATGTTTAATATAATTTTTGTTCTTATTTTAAGACGTAAATGGTAACTTTTGAGGGGTTTCATTTTAAGTTATATACAAATACTTTATATACAGATTTTAATAAGATGTATGTTGTTATTAATTGCTAGATATAATTGACTGCATTAATTTATAATTCAGAGTTTTTTATTTCATTAATATATAAATTTATTTTTTGTGTTTATGGGCATAATGTAATATGGTACAAGTGCTAATGACAGTATGTGTAATTTCTTGGCTTTCAATAATAAAAAATACTATTTTTTTCTCCTCGGCAATGATTTGTAATAAGTTTGTGCAAACATAAATTGAAATTAGTGATGTTAGATCCTTCTTTAGTTATAGACAGTTATATAGTTATAATATATTCATTGAATTGACTATATTACAAGATTATTATTAAAATAATATGTAATAATTTTAAATTTAATTAATTTTTTAAAATTCTCTGGAAGAATTATATAAAATTTTTAGGTATTAAAATTTTACTTGAATTTCTATAATTTCAAGTATGTTTGTTTTTTTTGCTTTTACCAAAAAAGTATAGAAAACTATAAAAAATTTTAATGTCTTGGTTCTGTGATGAATGTTATGTTGTGTAATTTATATAACTGAACAGGATCTTAGATTATATTTAGATTTGTACATACATTAATTATAATATATTAGACAGAATACATTATCAGTTGTGAATTTATGAAAATATCTGATGATAATGATAAAACAGTTTCAAATATGTTTTGATTTTTTCCAAAAAACTTAATTCAGTCGACCCCCCTATAACACTGTTGATTATTCCGTTTTATATGAATTCCCTGTTGTACGAGTCACTTAGATTTTACAAATACATGAGCCGTTCACAGCCCGGCACACGTATTTGTAAAAT